TTGTCAAAATTGATGGTATAATGGAACCAATATTTGCATAATCGCAAATATGAGTTGCAGATCTCCTCTTCTTCTTTGGTCTAGCAATTTTGTGCTTGAATGTGTTCCATTGTTTTCAGATCTGGTTTGATGACATCTGATATTATTTTATGTTTGAATGCTTTGCTGATTGAGTATTGTAATCATCTTCAGTTTTTCTTCTTGGACGTTGGGTTTTTTGTTCTCCAATGGTTATTTTTTCACGTCAGTCTTCACATCCAGGTGCTTCCACGGGGCTTTTTCAAGGATATTTTGGTCTTTTCAAAATATAAATATAATATTAAATAAATTTCTTATCCCAATTCCATCTGAAAATAAAAAATATTTTTATACCTCACTTTCACTTACATTTTCACTTTCACCTCCACTTCTATTTTCACTTCTATTTTCATAAAAAAACATTTTTTTTGTGCCAAACAAGGCATTATTTTTGCATTGACACTTTTTTTATAACCCCCTTAAAAGATAAATTGCTTCTGTAGTGGTCTTATCTGACATGAAATTAAATTGATTCTCAAGAATACCATTCTCTAATCTCAACTTATGTTTAACCACGCTTTCTCACAATTTTATTGTATTACTTATAAGGTTAATCCCTCTGTAATTTTTACAATTCTGAATATCTCATTTATTTTTATAACTAGGAACTAAGATATTTTTCCTATATTTGTCAGGAATTTTCTTTGACTGTAAAATCTAATTAAATAAGTTAGTTAGCAACTGCACCCTTTTTTACCTAAATATTTTTACACTTTAATAGGGATACAATGATGTCCAATGACTCTATCATTTGTTATTTACTCAAGAGCTTTATTTAACTCATTATTGCTTATCCTTTGATAAAATGACAAATGTTATTCTTCTTTACAAGTTATTAAATCTCTAAATTTATTAGATGAGCCCCTCCATCACTGAATTATGTTTTGTTTTTATTTGTAAAAAATTAGAAACTAATTTTAACCCCTACTTTTAAATAAATTTTCGTTTTTGGCCCCAACATGTTGGCTTCTAGAATCGAACAGTAGTTTTCATGAGACATATATATCATTTTCAGGCAAGTCAGGGAATGACATGGATTCTTGAGCACTCTAAAAGGAAGATAAAGGTTTAAGGTCACTTCAAACATTGCCACTCTTAATTACCCTCCAAATATTATCGAACATGCTACCACCAACATTGTGTGACCGATCTGATAATGCTACAAGCATTGTCAGTACAACCTTGTACGATCTAGCTTTATCACATATGCTACGACATTTTAGTTAGTACACAAATCTACATTATATATATATATATATATATATATTTTCAAACCTCCGTTTGATTAGTGATTACAGTGAGGTTATTCTTTATTTTAATTTAATGGTGACCAAATAAATGTTTATATTTTTTCTTAATTTTTTTAGCCAAACTTAAATTAAACTATTACTCTTTAAACAAAATGAGGATACAAAATTGACTTAAGATATCCAATTAGTACTGTAAATCTGGGTCAATCTAATTAGTTGAATCGATATCTTAATCAGTTTAATAAAATACTTTATTTGTAACCTAAGTGATTATAATTTTGATTATTAATCTTAAAACTAGTGCTTAACCAATTCAATAACTAGTTGGTAAAAAAAAAAACCAATTCAATAACTAGCCTAATTTTCACTGCCAATCAAACAATAACAGTGTCGTAACAATGAGGTAGCTGAAAGTAATTTTTTTTTTGGTTGGGTGGAGAAAGTACGAATCTTCATTCATACATTTATCTAAGTTAACGTCAATGGTTGGGCCACCTGAAATAATTAGCATATAATAAACCTTTATTTTGTATACGCAAGGTCTTTCACTTCAAAGATTATGACATGAAACAAAGTCATGGAAAGAGATTAGACTGCGTTGAAAAGGGGGGGAAAAAATCCCCTTGAATTGTTAAGCTTCTTGGGCCAAATGGGCCAACCACCTCGGCCTAAATTAATTAATTAATAAGTTAAATCTCGAAAATTTTTCCTATGTTCATTGTTCAATGCCATACAATGAACTTAACATTTTCTCACGTGAGAAGTTTGTAAAATGTTTTTTTGAAGTGAGTGAGACATAAAGGAAATAGTAAATCGTATAAATTGTGTCAATATATATATATATATATATATTTGCTCTTTCTTGTGGCCGCCATGATGGATTGGAAATTATTGTTTAATTCAGATTTGAGCATAGCCCAACTCCAGATACTTTTAAAATTTATTTTGTGCTTGAAATTTTGGGATCTATTTTATTAATTAAAAAAAAAGTTTAGTTTTGAATGTCAATACCATAAAAATCTCCCAAGGAGCTTTTAGATCTAAAAGTTGGTGTGGATGCCTCAATTGAATTTGTGAAGTTCTAAGTCTTATTTGTGGGCATCAAATATTCAAGTCAGATCATGATTAACACATCCACTATTGACTACGTAATTAAACAATATCTCAAATATATACAGCCACATACATGTTTCAAATATTTCAAGAATTAAAAGTCTCACTTATTAATTACCAAATGTCTTCCTATGCAATAATTCAATACAAAAACGAAAAAAAAATAATTTCTTGTTTTTTTTTTATATTTTTCTTTCTTTCTTTATATCGCTTTTCCCTGTACTTCTAATACCCAAGGTTAGCTTCCAAACTAAGGAATTTAAGGACAAGGGGTTATGTCATTGCCTGTAATGCCTATGTCATACAATGATTAAATTAAGCAAAGATAAATTAATTTAATTAAGAAAATGAAAAGGACTTGCCTCTAGACATGAAACGTTGGAGAATTGGAAGTGTAAATTTTCTTCATGATCCAGATAGTCTCACATTTCAACTTCATTAAAATATTATTCAAAAATGGTTTAATGTCCGGCTGTGTTTCCTTCCAACAACAAATGACCACTTCCTACCCATGTGTTTCTCTACATGTTTTAAACAAATAAATCATGTCTGATCATCATTCTTTAATAGAGGAAATTAATTATTATGGGTTAGAGTATGATAAAGACAATTTCACCATAAGTGCCTTAATTTGTTGAATATATATAAAGCAACTTGTTTTTTTCACTATTGGGTCTGGGTTTATTCTGATTAGATTATGAATTTGGTCATGGGTTTTGATTTTTGATATTTCACCAGAAGACAGACGTAGACTTTTTATTTGTGATTTTCAGATATCCCACTAATTGCATTTTTTGGGGTTGGTGAGTGAAGAAGATCGATCACACACTCCTCTAAATTGCTCGTATATACAATGACAATTTTGCTGCTTTTTTCGTTTGCTTTCTCACAACTTTGAATTTGGCTTACTTGATATTATTGTATACTCATCTATTCAATCCGTAAATTCAAATCAATTTTTTAACTTTACATTTGTGTAATTCAAGAGTATTGGGTGGTATTTGGTATGTTGGAGACTTTTTTATTTATTTCTAGGGAGAATGACAAAGAAGTTTTAAAAAAATTAATTAATTTAACTTAGATTTTAAATATTAAATTTTAAAAATTTACAAGTTTAATTTTTAATTTTGCAATTTCATTATGATGAATTTGAAATATGCCAAATGCCAAATTCCAAAAATTTATAAGTTTAATTTTTAATTTTGTAATTTCATTTTAATGAACTTGCAACTTATATTTCAAATTTTAATAGAGAAAATAAATTTATTTATTAAAATTTAAAAAATAAATTATAAATTTATCACAATAAAAATGCATGTAAAATTGAGAGCCAAATTTATGAATTTTTAAAATTTAACATTTCTAATTTAGGTTGAATTAATCGATCTTTGTAAGATTTCTATATTATTCTTCCTTATTTTTAATCATGACACTGAGTCATAATAAACTTTGACTAATATAAGTTGTGTAAGTTAAAACTATGGAAATAATAAAGTTTTTTCAACTAGATATTGCTGCTACTTGTTTTTTCAACTTAGAAAATAATTATTTGTTAGCTAGAATGCAACACAAATCCAATGTGATTATAGTATTACACCAAAAATATTAACGAATTGAGAGTCCTACACTTGTGAGGCAAAATTTCATATTAAATAAAATATAGGGGCTACGCTCAAATTTATCATTGATTGCAAAGGAAAAATTACAGATGTAACGAAAGTGAAAAGTACGGTGCTTGCCGCATAGATTCGTCTCTAATTACAGAGTTCTCTTAACAAGTTTTTAACAAAACTGTATATCCATTAGAATTTGGATTTGAGGCTGCTAATTAAATTATTATAATTTTTACGAGTTGAATTACATGCTTGTTTGGTGACCCCAATTTTTTTTTTTAACTTGGAGGAGCAATTATTTATTAGAATGTAATACAAATCAATCATGATGAAAGATAGAGGGTTGAATTGAAGGAGGAAAAGGCAGGAAATGAAGAAGGAAGGGAGTGACATGAATATCAAATATACACTCCCAGAAACGTATTTAAACAAAGAAGATATATCCTATTAATAATTTATTTTAAGAAAAATACAAAGTGCAACAAAACCTAAATCTGTCAAAATCAAAATGAGAGAGAGAGAGGGATTTGGAAAATCTGACTGTGATTAAAGAAAATGAGGGAAGAAGGGACCATCTGTCGAGGCAAAGAGAAGTCAATTGGATTTTAAATTAGGCTCATTATTCCAATTTCAACATTAATTTTCTAAATCAGCTCATGCGAACTGGTAAGAGTCGTAAGAAGAATAAGGAAGGCAAATCCAAAAAATGAGAACAGAGATGGGTACAATCATGCTAATCAATCCTTATTCCCTTCCTAAATGTCACAAGATTATTTATTTGTTTCTAGGCAAAAGGCAATTATATTAACAAATAAAAAAAAAAAGTAGCTGCCAAGATAACCTTAAAACAGAATTATCAGAGAATGAAATCATCTATAAATTGGCCAACAAAAATGGTTTTATCACGTAATCATATATTTAACAGGACAGTGACACAGAAGAATAGTACGGTAAATGAATTCACTCCCTTCTGTTTACACATGTTAATCACATCTTTTCAAGTATACTACATGTAATTACTGGCATAGTCAAATATCTAAATTACAATCTTCAAAATTAACAAAAAAAAACTATTCAGCACCTAAAAAACTTTTTTTACCATGAAAAAAAATACAAAAAAGGGAACTTTATGCTTGCTGTACACTATGACTCTGTTTCTATCTCTTTTCCTTTTTCTATTTCTACACTTTGTGCGTAAAAATGATGAGAAACTGAGGGTGAACCATATGCATTTTATGGCTGTCTTTTCCCCCTTCGAATCACGGTGCTTGCTTAGGAGAGTAAAGCCTAGTACCAAGAACTTTGTACAGAGCAGTATCCGAATGAACAGAACCAGATGATCTCAGAAGCTTAATCTGACGTCTGCGTCTTTGACCTTTCCGACTCTTGTGAAGACCCTCCATCATCATCACCTTCTTCTTCTTCGTCTTCGTCTGCTCCATCTCCTGCTTCTTCTCCTGTTCACACTCATCCCCACTTCTTCTGATCTCTATATCCCCACATTGAACTGGTTTTTTCTCTTCGGTTCCTTCACTGGGGACCACATAGACAAAGCAGCCCACCGGGATATCAGTCAGGTTCATTAGTGGCTCTAAGGTCTTAACCACGGTTCTCATGGATGGTCTAGACTTGGGTTGTTGACTCAGACATTGGTGAGCCAGAAGCGCCATTTTTCTAGCCCCTTCATAAGAGTACTGACCCTCTAATCTCGGGTCCATTATCCTTTCTAGCTTATTAGGGTCCTTTAACAATGGTCTCGCCCACTCCACCAAATCCTGTTCTCTCATCGGACGGTTCTTATCCACTGATCTTTTCCCTGTAATCAGCTCTAGCAGAACCACCCCAAAGCTATACACATCGCTCATGGTCGTCAAATGCCCTGATAAATCAAGAAACAGCTTCATCTGAGTCACAAAACTTCGGCATATAATCATAAAAGGTTTAAACTTTATTGATGATTCTATCTGTACTCTGTACCTGAGGTGATGTACTCAGGAGCAGCATAGCCATGAGTACCCATCACACGAGTTGTGATGTGAATTTGGTCTTCTTCCGGGCCGTCTATGGCGAGACCAAAATCAGAGAGCTTGGCATTGTAATCCTGAGAGCATGATAATAACATGTCAGTCAAGTTACTTGTAGCAGATGATGATGATGATGATGATGATTGGACTTGAATGAACTTACTGCGTCTAATAAGATATTTGAGGCCTTGACGTCTCTGTAAATGACAGGTTGTGCTTCTTCGTGAAGGAAAGCAAGTCCTTTTGCGGACCCAATTGCTATCTTGATTCTTGTGAGCCAAGGCAAGGCTGCTAGGTAACCTGCATTTTTGTTTTTACAAGAATCAATAACCATATTGTGTAAGAAAACGAAAACAGGTTTTGCTTCCATTAAATCTCACCCTTGAAAAGCTTGTTCTCTAGATTGCCTCTCTCCAAGTATTCGTAAACCAGAAGCCTGTGTTCATCTTCACAGCAATATCCAATCAGGTTCACCAGATGGGGATGCTTCAGTTGCCCCAGAAAGATTACTTCAGCCTACACCAACAAAAAGCAATTAATTAGTTTCATTAAAAAATTTCACCACCATAATTAGTTTCATCTGAGAATTTGAGCAAAAGATCCTCACCAACCACTCTCTGTGTCCCTGTTTGCTATCTGAGTCCAGAACCTTAACTGCAACAACTTGAGCTTCCAGACCAGGCCGGAGCTTGTCATCAATGAAGCCTTTATAAACCTTGCCAAACCCACCTTCACCGAGAACACTGGATTTGCAGAAATTGTGGGTGATCTCCTTGAGCTCCTTGAGGGTGAAGATATGAAGATTTGAACCCAGAACAGAGTTTGAGAGATCACTCATGATAGAGAGCGAAGAAGAATTGCTGAGATCAGAGAGAGATAGTCTTCTCGAGCTCACCTTTCTGGAGGCCAAGCACTTATTCTTTTGACGATTATGATTATTGTTAGCAGAAGACAAAGATTGAGGGTTGGGCTTGAAACAGCCAAGAACGAGGTTTCTGAGGAGAAGTCTTGTGGAAGGCATAGTGATATGATACGAGTATTAATCTCTGTGCAGGCTCTGTGATTTTGATACCTTTATTTATCGGTATCTGCACCAAATGATGTTGAGGGTTTAGCTTATTTATAAGTGATCCAGCAGACAAAAATGGCTTCGACAAACTTTTTTATTTTTTATTTTTTGGTGTTTCGTGTGGGGAAATTTGATGACATCATCATCCCTGCTTTTACATTACACGCTGGTACCGAGTTATGAACAATAGCCGATCGTCAATGGGCAGGGAAGCTGCCAAGTCCCGGTGCCAACGCCCAACCAAAGACAAAAATGAAAAAAGACAATTATTAAAAAATTGGACGAGGTCACATGTCTTTTTTAAGCTTCTTCCACTTGATTTCTTGCTTTTTAAAGCTGGTTTAATTAACACGGTTTTATTTTTTATGCTCCCCATCTTATCATAATAAATATAAAATATTAGTTATTGTTAGTAACTTAGTGTCAATATAAAATATTAAATTTATAGCAAATCTTCATCAATTCTGTGACGGATCCAGAACTGTAAATGATGGGGCCAAGATATAAGCTGCGTGAGTAATGGGGGATTCCAATAAAGTTTAAAATTTTGTATAAGGAAAGATAAAGAATGAGAAGAAAATTAGAGGGGAAAGAAAATTAGGAAAGAAAAAAAGTGTCAAAAATAGTAAAAAAAATTTCCATTTTTGACAATCTCCCTCCCAATTTCCATTTCCCTCTATTTTACTTTCTACTTTTTTTCTTCATCCAAACCAATTATAGAAAAAAGTGGGAGAGTGTGCCCCGCCTAAAGCCGTCCCAGTTCATGATTCATGAGTTATAAACAATATTTTTTATGTTTCAAATACAGTTTTTTTTAAGATTTTAATGCACAAATTAAAGATTGAGAAATGTAATCAATATATTAAACTATCACAGATTATCAAATTTTGCCTTAATTTAATGTTTAAAGCATTTTCACTTTATTTATATGTACAAGGTATCAGAAGAAAAAAATAATAATTAATGTTTTATTCAACATTTAAGACTAAATTATATAATTTTGGTCTTCTACCTTTATACAATACAAACTTTCAGTTAGACATTATTAGTTTTAATTTTTAAATGAGTATTTTTTTGTATCAATTATTATCATTTAAAAGTTTAATATAATTTTTTTTATAAAATCAATGATGTTAAAGTTAAAAGATTGAAAACATATTTTATAAAATTAAAGGATAAAATTAAAATATTTTTAAAGTTAAAAGACAAAAAATTCACTTTAGTCAATATTTAAAAATGCATATAAAATAATTTTTTTTTTAAAAAAAAGCATGTAGCATGAAATGGAAAGAGTATATGCTCTTTTGGTCTTAGGTAGAGAACCAGAGAGAGAAGAAGTAATTTAATTCTATTTATAAGGTATTTGTCAATTTTCAATGTTCATCTTTACATTTTTATTCTTATTAAATATTTTAAATAAAAATATTAGTAATAAAATTTAATAATATTTATTAGTGACAAAAGAAAAAATTATTAAATTTTAAAATGAAATTAATGAGATTAATTTTTTTAATTTTAATAAAATATATTAAAAATAATTTATAAATAAAAATAAAGTGAGTACAGCACATTTCTCAAGTTCTAAATTCCTGTGGGTAATACAATACAAGTGAGGCCCACCTGATCTGAACATGATCTGTAGTAATTTGAACCTCAGCTTCATGTAAAGGGAAGAAACAATTGCCTTGCTTTAGCATGAGGAACACAACAGTTAACAAACTTTTAATTTCACACTATAAATTTATTCACCATTTCATATAACTTTAGATCTGAAAATTTTGCAATATAATTGTCATCATTATAAGCCTTGAAAATTGAATCAAGCCAATTGAATTGATTTCATTATTGGTATTGAAGTGGAAGTAATTTTCAGGCTTGAGATTTCAATATCATGCTCGATGTTATAATTTGAAGTAACATTACATTCCGTGCCTATCATTAATTTAAACAGTTCAGGTTGACTTTGACTTATACAAACCTATTTTTAGTTTATTTTCATATCTTAAATAATGTTTTCTTTTAATAGATATGTGTCAATGAAAAAAAAAAAGTTATTATGGAGAGAAGCTTCTTAATCATTTTCTGGACGAGTTTGAGACAGATTGTATTTGCGATACTGACATTTAGTTAGTTAACCAAGTTTTTAATTAAAATATATTTCGAAGTTAATAATTTAAGAAAGAGATATATAAATCTAACAAATTTCTTAAAACTAAAGATAAAATTGATAAGATTACAAGACTGATTTGGGATGAATAAATTAGAGAAGAATGAAAATGACAAGATAGAGTGACTGACCAGATAAGGCTCTTTACTTTGAACATTGAAGGCGTTGAATGCTTTGGACGATTCATACAATGGAAGTAGAATTTATGTCTTTTGTCTGTCTCTTTTTATTGTTCTCATGAAGGCTTCCTCATTTCTTCGTAATTCCATGTGCTTCTCTTTTTTGAGACTTTGAACGTTATTGCTTCCTTATTTTTGTTTATTTCGCTTTATATTATATCTTCTTCTAAAGTGACTTATTATTTAATCATTGATAAATGTCACCTCAAGGATGATTACTTTCTTGAGCATTATTGATTTACTAGTCGCTAGCTGTGTAGTAGAATATGTAATAGGTGTTTCTCTTTTAATCTCCTTAATCTGGTTTAAACCAAGATTAAATTCTTCCTAAGAATTGTTATTTAACATACCTCATAGTTTACACAATTTCACGTAATTAACAAGAGATTAAATAACTTCACTTCATGATACTTGAGTTCATAATTAATTTGTGTGTATAATGAAATTTGTCTCCCTTTAATTTGTTTCATTTTGGCTAAAATGCATAAAATTTTCCTAAACTTTAAAATAGTTGTATATGACTCCTATCATCTTTAAACGTTTAAAAGTCACTCCTCTATTTTATTTTTATTTTTCAAAACTTCCTACCATTAATTAAATCTATTATATTATTAATAAAGTTTGTCATATCATATGAATAAAATACACATCACATGACATGGAAAAATATTTTTATTAAATTTTAACACAATTTAAGGAGGGGCAAAACTGTAATCTTACATTTAACGCGCATGATAATGTTTTTATATTTTTTTAGTTCAATACCATTATTCTCATTGTTCACTATTAATGCAATTTAAGATAAAAACTATACTTTATTATTTTTTGTCAACTTTCAACTACAATAGCCTTTTATATTAAACAAATGAAAAAATTATAAAAACTGTCATTAATAAGGATTATATAAATAAAAATTTATCCCTTAATATTAAAAAAATTATCCTTTAATACAAAAAAAAACAATGTAGCATTGATAACCCAAAAAAAAGGATAAATGATACAATTTTTATACATTTATTATTTGCTTACATAAAATGCTATGTAAGCTTCCATGTGACTTCTCTTAATTTGACATGACAAACTCTATTAATATCATAATAGAATAATTAGTGGTAGGCCTTTGAAAAATAAAATTAATAGTTATGGAGTTAATTTTTTAAACATTTAAAGGTAAAGAGGATCATATAATACATTGTCTCAAAATTTAAAGAAGTTTTATATATTTTAGCCTTAGTTTTTTTAAGTTTCATGTCCTTTACTGAAATTGTTAATTTATTATATTAAAATTGTCAATTACTACTAGATGAATAATAATTGACAACTTAATTTAATAAAAGACATGGGATTTTAGAGTAATTTTATAATTTCATGAGACTTTTTGTATTAAAATTTCTTATATAGGAGTTGAAAATGATTTTTCTTAAGAAAATGGGAATTTATTTAAATTTTACTTATGCATACTTTAAAGATAAAACTACTCTCACATTATTTTGGTCAACAAAACATGGTTTTGTCCGAGACCAATAAATTTCCGAACACACAATATGAGTGAAACAATGGGATTAATGGATTATAAGCTTAGGAGGAAACAACCACTGAATTGGTGACTGGCTACTTTATAGATTTTGATTAAATTTAATAAAATGAATGGAGTGTGATTAACGTTTGTTTGCCCATGTTGTTTATTAATGTTGTAAGATGGGCCAACAAAAAGTTGTGAATGTATCTAAATTAATTGCTTCAGCCATCTGTTTTACAAACTAAACTAAATTACGGTCAACACATCCCCTTTTGCTTTTCTCTTTCCGTCCACTCCTTTCTTTTCTTTCTTGATCTCTTCCCTTTCCTCTTTCTTTCCCAAAAACCTTACTCAATGATGTAGTTTCTCTTCTTCTCTTCTTTTTTTTATTTAATTTCCTATTTTGGAAACAAATTCTTATGTTTTGACTTTAATAGAAGTGTATATATGATATCCATATATACCAATATACCTTGATATATTTATTTCATGATTCACATCAACTTTCAAAATTAACTAAACTAAGTATTGATATATTTTATAAATGGAAACTTTATTATTTATGTAATCGCATCATATAAAAGGACACGAGTTTACGCAACTTTTTTTTTGGGTATTATTTAGATCAGCTACCCGATATTTATTTAGGAAAAACGTAAATTTAATTTGGGGTTTCCATTGTTTAATTGGTTTTTTTTATTTTATCTCTAATTTTTATCTTATGTTTTGTTCTTGTCGCTTAGTTTTATTTAATTGGTCCCAAGTTGATTTGTAAATTGCAATACTTTCATTTCATATTTAAGTTTTTCATTAATTTTTAGGCTCAATTATACTCTTAATCCTTTAACTTTATATAAAATTTTAATTTAATTTTTTAATTTTATAAAGTATTTGTTTAGTCTTTTAATCCTAACATTGATAGTTTCAAATGGTTATTTTTTATGAAAATCATTGTTATTTTTTAAAAAAATTAAAATTTATATGTCAATATTTAAGAATGTTTTGTCAATTTTTCAAAGTTTAATATAAAATTTGTTAGGATAAAACTAACAGTGTTAGGATTAAAGAATTAAAAAGATATTTTATAAAGTTAAAAAACTAAAATAAATGTTGTGTAAAGTTAAAAGACTAAATGT